GGGCGGGTATGGGGACGGGGGCGGGGTGGGTATTAACATCCCCGCCCCCGCCCCCGATTTTATCAATCGGGGAAAATCCGAACCGGAACCCGATAAACACGGGTTTTCCCCGTCCAAATCGGGGCGAGTTCGGACGGGGACGGGTTAGATTGCCATGCCTAGATCCACTTGCCAGCCATTATACTCGTCGAGCCGGTCACCTGATCAGACCATCAGCTCTGATACCACTTATTGGGAAGTACCGGCAGTTACTACATATATACACACAATTGTCTTCATTAGTTGAGAGGCCTTCTAGATGATGTCCAAAAGTAAAACCGTGAGGATTTGAGCCCAAAACAGATAATATCTCACCAATATAGAGACGTGTGTATATGTATAATAACCCCTTATGCACAGCAATCACAAACAAGCATAAAGTAGCATTGTATATCATTGGTTTTGGCTTACTATATTATATTTATAAGGACTCAATAATATTTATATGCTACTTACCTTGGAAGGCCATAGAGAACAAGAATAGCTGTAACATCACATTTTCTAGTCAGCTTTTGATGTTGACATCTCATCCCTGTTAATCGATGGCCTCCAAACCTTGGCCATCTATATACCTGAAACAACAGAGGATCAGGAATTAGTGGAAATACTCAAAAGATAATTTATTACTTGGTCCATGAAGGCTTCATAAAACAAGAAGAAAAAAAATTAAATAACATACACTTGCAACAGTTTTCTCTTCTGAAAGACATAAGCCCCTTGTTTCTGGTAAGTGATGGAAACCCTGGTAAAAGCCAATAATGAGTAAGAGGAAATGAATTAAAAAACAAAACTTAAATACAAGACTATTAGTATTATTTTTCAATTAGAATTTGAAATTTTAATTTAGTAACATGCATTGACATTTAACGGAATTCTTTATTACACATATTATCGAGATAAACCTAAAGTTTTGATTGGAAAATAACAATAATAACACCAATGACACTGCATGAATAAAGTGTATGACTGAAAAAGAAGAGGGGGTGATTCATTACATTCTTCTCCCCAACAATGGCTTCATTAAGTGCTTCTCTCCCAACGAGAAGCATTGGGACTTGTTGATCTATTTTCATGTTCATTCCTTCATAGTAGTCTCTGATAGAATGATAAAGGGGTTGGCATTCTCCAGTGTCTGTTATAGCAGATTCCATGCACTCAAAGCACAAAATGCGTCCATCTTCCAATCTGTAGTATCTTTCATCCCGAGACTTCAAGGAGAAGAAAATAAAAGATCAGAAAAGGGAGGAGCATATTGCAAAATATTATTTCCCTGTTGTGAAAAAAGTAATACTTGTTATATTATGTTAGTATATACCTCTAATCTTTCACAACTACAGCACCGAGCTGTGTTATCATATTCATGACATGGACAATACTTTTGGTTCCAATAAGGGTGGCATCTATACTCAATCAAACCAGCAGCATTTATTGGTATCTGAACATGAAAGAAAATACCACAAGCATTAATATCTGAATATGTAAAGATTACGTATCAATGTGACAGTGGCAGACTAATCTTACATATTGATGGCAAACTTCACATTTAGGGTGGGTTAATTCTTTAAAACAGGACTTGTGATATTGACGCTTCCCTGACAAAGAAAACTTAGATCAAAAGAAAAAAAGGAAGTAAGATACAACTTAAAGAGAAGTGTTGAAATCAATATATTTTCAAACAAAAATTGAAAGAGCAAATAATATGAATTTTTTGTGGGAAAATATTGAAGAAAAGTATAGTATATGTATGAGTGCACATGTAAAATAGATGATATCAAATTCCGCTTTATCTAAAGAGGATCAAATTACCTCGCGCTCAGTAATGGGGTAACGACAAGAGTGACACCGAAAGCATTCTGGATGAAAATAACTGTGACCAACTCCTAAACAATTGCCATAAAGTATCTCTCGGTTGCACCCTTCACATATTCTGTTATGCGATGGCATACTACTGCACATTACCAGTTGTCAATAATCAACATAATATTAGCATCACAACAATGAAATCTAAATTAAGGACAAATGTATGGTAAAATGTACAAAGAAATCAGAACGTAGTTGAAATTTTTGTTCAAATTTATGTAACTACACAAAGATATATACATAATGCAAGAGAAATCTTATGTGATTTTGCCCAAAGGAAGCCAATAAATCAACTATCATGCTATTGATCAATTTGGAAACACTTGATATTTGTCTTAAAAATGTAGATTTTAATTTAATTCAACCTTACAAAACTTACTTATAAAGTAAGCACTGTTCTCAAAATATATCAAGTGTAAAGTTTATCGAAATGAACATCTACAAATAGTAAATTACTCTTACCTATACATTCTATTTTTGTCATATAACTGATCGATGTATGATCTCAAACAGTTTTGCCAACATATATTAAATACAATGTTTGGGAGAGAAAAAAAATTACCCATATCCCCGGGGATAAAAAGGTAAAGGGGTATATGGAGGATGCGTTGATGAGAACATGCGATCCTGAAGAGCCTTTGCATAATCTTCATCAGTTCCTGTCCGCCATCTATATCCTTCATGATCAAAATAAGAACAAAAGTTTAATCAGATCACAGTAGCTATAGAGCAGAGCAAGTACATTTTTTGAAAATTTAGTACCTACCAGTTGGTCTCTTTAAATCTTCGCCTAAAGAAAGTGCAATTGCACGGTCCAGATCCTCTTTCTCCTTCCGAGATCTAGCACGGTCATCCTAATGACATAAAGAATATTATTCAATACTACTCCCACAATCGCAGTTCTGAACATATGATGATTAATAGAACCAAAAAGATCATTGCATATACAGCTATGGAGCCTCATCCTAGACAATCTAAATGGCATTGATTTGTCCATAGCAAGGAGGTAATTTGAATAGAACATAATATAAGGAGCAGATAAATTTCGTTCAATAGTAGAAGCAGATAACCAAAACATTGTGCAAACAACTGCAAGATCGCTTCAGAACATTAGTTATGAAAATGCTGCATTGCTCATCATTACATGATACAGCACAACTCATGTTGTAGTGCACAATTAAGATACATGTTGACATTGCTAAACCAAATCTTTGGAAGGAAAAAGTGTCTAAATTTCATTATGTACTTTAAGATGCAACCCCAAGCAAAGAGACTCACTTCTTCTTGATAAGAACAACAGGGTATCTAATCAACCAAACAAGACAAAAGAAGTCAACCTTCTAGTGCTTATGATTGAGTGGAAATAAAGCCCTATTTTAGTCCTGAAATTGTTAAGTCAGTTATTGTAGTTCCTAACTTTACAGAATTCTCACTTCAAATATTGAGTTTGCAAAAAGTCATTCATTTTATTTATTTTCACTTCATTATCTATCAAAAAGGAACGAATGTCCATCCATAGAAATCGAACTTGTTATAAGAGAATATACAACAACTCACACGTATATTACTCAACCCATGGAACAAGTCAAGACGAAAATGAGTATTTTATAATGCTTACAATTTCAATGACTAAAATGAGATTTTACTCAAATGAATTATGATTGGTGACAAATAAAATCATCTTGATTCAGCCAAGAAGTAGCATATTGTGGTGAACTAACTATTCCCCTTATTTTGAGCAAAGCAATAACCATACTTATATGAGTGACAAAAAGAATAAGTAACAACAACTGATATAGATATCCTTGAATAGAACAGTGCTATGAATGCAACAAAACAGAACATCAATGCTTCTGTTTACCAACGATCTAGCTGGAGCTGGCCAAACCATGTTTTCCTCCACAGGCTGTTCTAGATGATGACCACCGCCCCTTCCTCTACTGGACCCAATTTTGAATATCTTGCCAAACCATTTCATAAAACCAGATTTTCTCTCTGAGTATGAAGAAACAAAGTCCCCTGCAACAACAACAAAAAAGTTCAATTAGAATTTATTAGAACAACTAAATCATAGTATAAATCGAATTTAGCCTGTCAACTAGGTTACATCTTCTCACACTTCACATAATCTTCTAGAATCCTAAGCAAGGAAAAATGATTTTTTAAAAAACAGTACAACTAGCTATACCCATTTAGTAAAATTACTAACAACCAAAAATAGGACTAAAAAGTTCAAAACTTTGTTATGTCTTCCACATGATGATGGCGAGTCTTAGGCACATGAAGCTTATGAAGAAGAAGAAGAAGAAGAAGAAGAAGAAAGAGAAAATACCGTATATACAAGGGTGAGAGAGATGATTGATATCTTGGGGAGGAGACATGGGTTATGTATAGATATTGGATTAGTTGAGAGGAGGAAGAGGCAAAAAAGGAAGGAGGAAAAATGAAAATGATAGAGAGAGATGAAAAAGAAGGTTGATTAGAGATCGTTAATAGTGGTTGAAAAGAGGGAGAGGAATCTATGAGGAAGTGGCAGAGAGAGAGATTCTTGGCTTCGAAAGCAATGAAGAGAAAGTGGACAAATGCAGAAAGATATGTTCTTGAAGAATGGGAGAATATTTAAGTAACGGTGGATTGTTTGTTGAGAATCAAAGTGGAATATATCTGTAGAGAAAGTGTTTGCACGCATGGAGTTGAAGGCGTAGTAGTAATAGTAGTAGTGCATGAAAGTTTTCTCTTTATGGCTTTTTTGTTTTGGCGGGTAAGATGACAGAGACAGAGTGTGTTCCAAAAGTTCCATTCTTCTTCCCAAACTGTAGTAGTGTGGTCAACTATTGTAGGGTATTTTTCTGAGCTAGCTCCAAGCTGTTTAGATGGGAGAATAATGTCATCATATCATATGTGATATGCCAATGCCATTCATCACCAACCAACTTTATTTTAATTATTTTCTCCCTTCATTTTTCACACCATGTTTTGTGGAGATTTAGATATGGAATCAGAGAGACAGAGACAAGGAGCGAAAAGAAGCAAAGAAAATAAATAATAAGAATAAAAAGTTAAGATTATTTAAATAAAACATGAAGAGAAGTTTAATTGGTTATGTATATGTATTTTTCATTTTGTTTATATATATTAAGTTTACATAATCTATTATATTGAACAAAAGTTTATCATACTAGACTGGTCAACAACGCTCAACACCACTAACTATAAGCCGATATGGATTAAGAATAAAAAATATGTGCTCCTTCACAAGTCAAAAAAAGTTATTTTAACAAAAAAAAAGTTTATTATCAAATTGAAACCAAAGTATTAGAAAGGGGAAAAGAAAGTACTCATGATATTAAATATAAAGAAATAATATTGCAATCGCTTAAAGGACAATTTTAGAATATTAGACATTAATATCTAAATATAGTAATGGCGTTTTGACAAGTGCACCCTCTTTATCTTTTTCAAATTCCATTCCTATGCTGCGAATATAAATGGTTATCCTATTATTCCTTATATCAAAACAAACCCTTTTTCTTCTGTATATCTTCTATTTGACATGACAAGCAACAAGCAAAAAGTTTCTTCATCATGCTCGATCAGTTCACACACCAACAGGGAATCTAAGTCCACCACTTAGGTACATATCATCATCAAATGTGAAGAGACATAGCCCTGCCTTCGTTAACAAAAGAAAAATTAAAATAAAGGAAGAGGGTCCTATATAACAATGACAAAAGGAAGCTGTTGATGCTGTTGCAACAGTGTTGTAAATGTGTTCATGATGATAGCAAAGCTTTTTATTTATTTATGTTTATTTATTTGTAGACAAGATACATTGGATGTTCCAAAACTAATAATTAATCATTAATTTTACATTTGTGGAACATGACTATTATTGGTCAAATATTATGATAACATCAACGAAAATAAATCTTGGGAATATTAAGTTAACTTCGTATTCTAGAACACATCTTATAATCATATGGTGAAAACGTTTTTTTTTTTCCTGAGACCACGTAGCATGTAAGAAATAGAAAGTGAGGACTGAGGATTTTAAAACTCACAAAAATATAAAAGGAGGAGGTGTTAACAAGGAAAAAGAAAATACAAAATGGAGAAGATAGGAATGAGAAGAAAGGAGAAAGGGAAAAGGGAAAAAAGTATTAATAGAAAGTGAAAAAAAAAATATGCTTGTATAAAAATTAAATCAAGTAATTTTTAAATGTAGAAATTAAAATATAATGATTATACAAATATAAAGACCAAAATGTACATATAGAACAAATATAAGAATTAAAAAGTAAAACACGTAGGACAAATGCTAATAATATGCAAGTTTTATGTAATCTACTATTAACAGAGTTTTTTTTTTTTTTTTGGAACAATATGAAATAGAAGAATTAGATGTTTGTATTAAGGCTAAAATGAATAATTTTTAAATATAGAAGAGAAAAAAAGCTTGTGAGACTATATGAATCAAATGATTTATTAATTGTTATTTAATAATATTTCTTATAATTTTTATTAATATCATGAAATTTAGTAATATTATTTAACTTAATTATATATTATATTAATAAATATAATATTATATTTTTTGTATTGTGTGAAAAAAAATATATTGTCATTAGAGATATTTTATACGCATATGATATATAGTATTAATTAAAATCTCATCACACACACTCTACTAAGAAGAATACTCTATGAAGCAGATCTCTAGTTTCATCCTTGATACTGTAGATGTCTTTTCTTTTAATCCTTGACTTACTAAAATTTTACTTTAATATCTAACTTTACAAAATGTGATAACATATTCACTTTATCTTTTGTACTATATTTTTCATTAATATTAAGGGCTAGTTAAAGAGAATATTTTATAATATATTGTAAGGTCAAATATTAAAGTAAAATTAATTTTATAATTTTAACGATAAAATAATTGAACCAAAAAGTTAATTATCTAAATGATACAAAGACATGATTTTCTTAAATAAAATTTCAAATTCAAATTTTATATATGATCAAGAAAAAATGGCTGAGAGAAAAAATCATACTAAAAATATCAGCTAATTAAGCATTCTAAAAAAAATTGGTCATTGATGAAATTTTATAGATACTTTATGCTAATAATATAATTATTAAAAAAAGAAAAAAGAAATAATCAACACTTATAATCTCATTAACCGGTAAAGCTTTATTCAAAAGAAATATATTGAACTAACGAGTGAAAGTTACCCAAGGAAAACCGGAATTTTTTTATTCCTGCACAATTGGAATAATATTAATATTAATATTAATACCCACTTGGTGGAAATAACCAATACAATAATTTTCTCAAAGGATTAAAAAAAAATGGATCGGAACTTGCCTTAAAATAATTATTTCTTAGAATAAATGAGTAATCTTTTAAGACATAAACCAAATGCCAGAATCATTTTTAACAAGATTCCAAGAATAAATTAATGAAGCTTGAAATAAACGCTCCAAAGGAAATGTCCTGGTAATCTCAAAAATTAAATAGTATATAAATATCAACCACTATTTTACACAAAAATATTTATAGAACAAATTCTTTGATGAGAGTTTTTAAGAATTTTTTTTAATTATATATTTGATTCAATTTTTATTTATTATAATTATTTATAAATTAAATTTTTATAATTTAAAATAAATTATCAATAAATAATAATAATTTGTGTTACAATTTAAATTATTTATTATAAATTTAAAATTATATGATTAAAAATATTTATTTTTAAATTTTAAATATAATTTATATATTCAAACATAATATTTATTTGTATATATAATTTATTACATATAATAAATATTTAAGGAAAATATTTAACATGTGCATTATACAGACTAAAATACTAGTTATATAAAAAAAAATAAGTTATACACTTTACACTATCATTTAAGGAAAATAAGTTATGTAATTTTTACATTATAATTTAATCATAATAATTTATTAACTTTTATAATAATTATTATAAAAATTATATTAACAATAAATTTATATTGATTCATCATGCATGAACATTAAACCTAAATTTTATATTGGACGAATGGCTAAGAACATGACAATGTATGTGAATGCCGAATGCATTTGCAAGTTGCAACGTTTCGACTTTCATATACATTGCTTCCAAGGAAATGATGGAAACAAAAAAGAAAACGATTCTTAATGCTCACGTGTAGCTTTATAATATTTTCCAGTTTTTAGGAAAAGAATCTCTGTATGCTAGTATATAATATATACCAACATTTTATTGAAAAGCAAACCATTTTACTAGCTTCATATGTCAGTATTTATTTGTATGAGATAATGAAAAAGAAAAAAGCAAGAAAGAAAAAATAAAGAAAACTGAAAAAGCCTTTTCACCCATTAGAAAGATGATGATCATTGTAAGTTTATAGAAGGGGCACTGAAAACAAGGGGTTTCAAAAATACTAAATAGCAAAGAAAAGCATCTTACAGCCATGCCATCTTCCTTTACATCAAATGCATATCTGGATCCGTTTACCAAACAATTAGGCAGTGGTAACCTTTAGTCTCGGTAACATATATATTACAGCCATAAAGTTGAGACTAATTTATACAAATCATGAAATTACTTTGCTGCAAAATGATTAATTAATGGAAGGTCCATGGCACCAGTTAACCTAGCTACATCTCTTTCTTAATTTCACATGATTCTTGGAGTAGGTCTTTTCCAAAGTGCCTCATGCTTTCCTAATTCGGCCTGCAGCATACACATAACAACCAATCATATAAGAAAAAACTCATGTTCTGCTTTTGCAATTAAGATGAAGCACATGCTTCATCTAGTGGATAAAGTGAATTTCTGTCTTCAATCTCTAAATTTGATTGATATGTTACATAGTTTTGAAGCATAAGGGCAGAGACATCAACTTTGGCAGCCTTCAGCTTTATCCAGTTATCCATAGAAGATATATACGCATATTATAATGAAAACAAGGGAAGAAGAAATTAAAGTCATTATCCTCAAAATCTCTTGTCTTTAAATTTTTTAGGAAAAAGGCCATAATTTCTGACTCAGACAACATGTTAAAGAACACCTTCTAGATGCTTTTTTTCCTACATGCAATTTCAAGTAATTTACATAGCCATGTTGGTAATTTCTAGTTGTTGGTCATGATTCATGAAATCAAGAAATTGTGGTAGTGGTGCTGCATATGCGGGATTTGTATCTAAGCAACAATTATTGAGTAATTACAAATTTGCAGTAGCAATAATAGACTTTTTTACTGAAATAATATTTTTTAAAAAAAATTTACCCAAATAGCATCTGTGCAAATTTATTTATATCACTAGCATTGTTTACTGTTCACGTTTAGAACGGGTTGTTCCGATAATAGAACAAGCTGTTCTGGATATAAAAATAAAACGTCGAATGGATCAAAATGGGCCGTTCCATTTTCAAAATTAACACATGAACAGTGGGACCAGAACGGGTCATTATGGCCACTTCTGATAGACCGACATATGGAAAAATAGACGTGAGCACACATTGATTGGACATCCAATGTAAGATCCATTGTTTCACACACGAGAATACATGGAATTGGCCGTACATGGCCAATTTCATCTATTTTTTGTCTGTGCCATGACTACACAATGCAAGTTTCGACATGAAGATTATTGGCTAATAATGACAAGCCTAGATAACCTGCACATCACACTAGGAAGACATGTCCAAATAATGTATAATTATAATAGTTTATAAGCGACATAGTGCATTAAAAGTAAAAATGCATAACATTAAAATTCATATTACATTGATAAAGAGACATATATAGTGCATTAAAAGTAAAAAAAAAACGATAATATTAAGATAGAGTGAATTATATAAGTTTTTTAATCTCCGTAATGGTATCCAGTTCCACAATGAGGGAGACGTCTGTTACGGTCTGGATTACGCGGTGGAGGTTGTTGCTCAAAAGGATTTGGTTCATCATCAAGCGCTGGTTGTTGAAATGTTGTTGAAGAACTACCAGGTTCATTAGCGAATTCCGATTGGTAAAGAGATTGCATTGTAAAGGGAAATAATAAAAAGTCATAAAATCTGTACAGCTGTATTAGTTATTAGTTTTCCTTATTTTTAACAGTTGTAATGGTGTCTATATAAGACACTTTATTCATCTTCTGTAATACGTTCTATTGAGTATCAATATAGAAAAATACTTTTATCTGTTTTCTCTCCTCCAAATAAATTTGTAAAAAAAATCCTCTAAAGTTATTGCAAATAAATGTCTTCTGTCAATTATGTTTTCTTTTGGCCTGTGAGGTGATGTTGTGTGGAGGATTTAATACATGTTGATGAGTCTCTTCATACGATCGCATGGAAGTTGCACTAGTTTCAAATGTTGTGAAAGTTCTTCGTTGTTGATAGGTCCTTGGATCTTGTAGTAGTCATGGTACAGAGGAAATAGATAGAATTGGTTATGTACCATTCCATGTATTCTCGTGTTTGAACTAATGAGTCTTGCATTAGATGACCCATCAATGTGTGCTCACGTCTATTGTTCCATATGTCGGCCCATTAAAAGTAGCCAGAACGGCCCATTCTGGATTCAGAACGGTCTGTTCTGGTTCCACTGGTCATGTGTTAATTTTGAAAATGGAACGGCTCATTCTAATATCAGAACGGCCCGTTTTGATCCATTCGTTATGTATTATTTTTACATCTGAAACGGCCCGTTCTGAACGTAAACAATAAATAGTACTAGTGGTGTAAATAAATTTATACAGTTGCTATTTAAGTAAAAAAAAAATTAAAAGCATTATTTCAGTTAAAAAAAAAAAAAAAAGTCGCAATAATAAGTAGATATAGTTCCTTTGATCGTAGCTCCATTATTTTTTTTCCTCTTGTCTAAAGTAAGATCATTTTAATTAATGTAATTATGTTTCCAAGTTTTCACTTTTTTATAGTCGGTAGGAACTAGCAAACCAGCTCATGCAAAAACCTGTGGCTTCCTCTGACAAATTAAAAGTCCTTTTGCAATTTTGAATAATTTAAAATTAATTTTCCGGTAATACTTCGAATTCTTAACTACATCATCATGAAAAAATATATTCTATGGCAGAAATCGAAGTAGCAAACATTACGGCAAACAAATTTTCTATTTGCTAATATGCTTGCCGTGTGGTTAAGAGTACTGACGATGAAGGCAAGACGGGGAAAACTATCACGTGCATACAACCAAAATTAATATTTTATAAAATGGTGAATTGCATTTTTCATTCTTTATAACATTTATTTTCAGTTTCCATTTTTAAATATAAAATTTTAGTCTGAAACTTATAATTTTATAAAATCAAAATTAAATCCTAAATCTGATTAAAATCTGTTTGGTTATTTATAAATATTCTTAAAAATATTTCTATAAATTTTTTAAGAAATAAAGATTATCATATTTGGCTACAATATTATTTTTTAAAATATATAAATATTTTTTACAAAAATCGAGCTTTTTCTTTCTTATAAGTTGTAATCATATCATAATTTAATATAAAAATATATATATTATATAACTTAAAATAACAAAATTCAAAAATTTACTACGTAAAATACATAGTAAATCAAAGTGTAAAATATAAATTTAATGATTTATCAAAGTAAGAAAAAAAGTTAAATTAACAATCAAAGTAACAATTAAAATTAAAATATCAGTAATTAGAAAATAATAAAGAATATATATAACATTATTTTGCTTAAATAATTTGTTAAATTTAAAAGTTAAAAATCATAATAAGAAATTAGTAATAAAATTTATAATTTGTAAATTTTAAATAATTTTAAAAATAATATATTTTATGAAAATTATATAAATATTTGATCCTTGTTATTAAGTTAACAAGCAAATATTCACATGACACGTAGGCATAGGAGTGGGAGAGAAAGAAAGAGGGAGGGAGCACTCAAGTTTGTGAAAAAGTACACAATGTTATTATCTCTTTCTAGTATTTGAAAAATAAACAATGGAGTGTGTGAGAAAGTGAATGTTTTGAATAAAAAAAATGAATCCCAATTATATGTTTTTTGATTTAAAAAGGATATTATGATTTTTTTATATGCATCAAACTTTCTCCTTAACTCGAGAAATTTGAATTCTCAACCCTTTTATGAGAATGTCTTTGTGAGAAAATAAGATAAAAATGTTTCCTAAAAAACTATATTTCCTAGGAATCCTTTTTTTTTTTTAAATGACTACCAAACATGAAACTAAAATTATTGTGTGTATAAACATCCCCTTAAGCCATACTAACATATAAAGGGACACCTCTTTTGATAACCACTTTTGGTCTGCATATTTGATAGACTATTATATCATTTTGTTATTAAAAAATAAACTAAAAACCAATAATTTTTTTGGTAACTATTATTCCACTACTAGAAAAATGGAAATTAGAGACGGAAAAAATCCGTCACAAAATTAATGAAAATCCGTCACAAAATTATTAGTGACGGAATTTGTGACGGATTTTGGGTCGTCACAAAAAATGGCGTCACAAAATATTTAGTGACGGAAAATTCAGTCCGGAAATATGTCGTCACTAACTAATAAATTTTCCGTCGCAATTTGTGAGGGAATGCATTCGTCACAAACTGGGTTCAAAATCCGTCACAAATTGTGAGGGATTCAAAATCCGTCACAAAATCCTAATTTTTTATTTTTACGAATTTTTAAATAAAAAATAATTAAATTATTCCAGATTTATTAATTATATAATATATATTATTTTCACTTTTTTTTTTAGAGTTCATAAAATAAATTTTAAATATTTTTAATTTTAGTTAAAACTGATTTATAGTATAATATTTATAAAAACTAGTAGCTTAAGTAGTTTATTACTTATATTTTTTAATTAAATATTGAAGTTTGATCACTGATTTAGATATAAAGTCATCATTGGAAGTATTACTTTAATTACTTTTTATAAAGGTCAATTCCGTAAAAAAAAAAAAGGTTATCCTTCTTATTATATATATATATATAGTCTTATGTTTAATTTAATAATTTTATTTGAAAAAATAAAGTTCTAAACACAAATGTTTCTAACATCTAACCAAACACACAATTAATTAATTAATTTATTTTCTTTTCATCCTTATTTTCTTCTTCAGTAACTTATTCCAACCTTGCTATATACAAAATCCTTATTAATATTATTATTATTTAAGTAAGCCAACCCATAATGGGTCAAGTCAGATTAAATTTTTTAAAATTCATCAAAAAGTGAGTTGAATTATATTAACTCATTTTATTATCTAGTTGGTGAGGGATATAATTAAGAGAATTGTCCATTTTAACAAGTCTATTCATCACAATTGTTCTACTCTAGCTCAAATAAGGCTGGAGAATACATGTGATATAGAAAAATAATATATATATATATATATATATATATATAAATAAGTTAGATCAAAACTAACTTATTAGGATTAATTTTTCAAAAACTAAATAAAAGAAAGTTTATTGAGAAAGTAGAATGTATGAAATATAAATCTTTCAAGTTTAATTTTTTTTGTCAATTAATTTTTGAGAATTTGGTGTTAGTTTATATCTATTTTATTGTTATGTGATAACAATTCATGTTATTATATTTTTATTAATTTTTTTTTACCCCAATGATATTAATTAAGTACTTGTTTTTATTTTGAAGATGTGAAAATATAACTTATTTTTTTATTTATATTATTGCATATTGTTTATAATGTTATTTTAAATTCTTATAGTTTAAGATTTTAATAATTTAAATTTTTACCTTAATAAAAATAGGATTTTGTTTAATGAAGCAAAACCTATAGTTATTAAATATATTTCTACTAGTTTTATAATAAGAATAATGATTGATTAAATAAAGAATCGTTCCATAAGACGCGTCATAAAAAAAATTAGGCATAAATATAGGATATTCTAAAATATAACTTGATTATTTAAGTTAGAGAATTATGTAACACACCAAAAGACAAAATATAGATGAAGTATTTGGATAGTTTATTTTGTTACTGTTACTTTTATTATCTTCTATAAAAACCAGGGCTTGTATTGTTTATTGTGGTAGGAGAAATAAAATACCATTGAGAGATTTATTTGGTTAAAATAATGATACAGTGATATCACTAATTAACGCATAAAATGAACAGCCAGAAACTAATCCATAAAACTTAACTTCCATCTTCATTATCGTCGTGAAAAGTTTTTTTACCAATACAAAATTAAGAGGTGCAGATCGTTTTTACATACGTTATGTGTGTAAAGATGGAGCAGGAAACGGAAAAGAGAAAGGAAGGTAAAAGTGAAGAAAATGAAGAGAAATGGGTGCATGATGCATCTGTGGATTATAAAGGCAGACTTCCTCTCCGTGCTTCCACTGGTGTATGGAAAGCCTCCCTGTTTATCCTTAGTAAGATACCAATTTACTTGATTACTACTACTTTTTTATATATATAAATTTTTTTTATTTTTTTATAAGATACTCTTCTAATTATTAATTGCATTAATTATATCTTCTCTAAAAATCTCTTATTCAATAAACAAAAAGATAATAAATACTTAAAATTAATTGGATATAAATTCTCTCTCTTATTAGGATTTGAGAAGATAAATAAACACATAAATATCTATCTTTTTTTTTCAAACATTAATTAAATAGGTGAGAAATGATTAAGTGAAAGATGAGAAGATTAATTTTAGAAAACTAGTTTAAATTATTGAGAAATTTTTATGCATTCAACTAAAATAACTAATTATCTTACAAGGTGAAATTTAATTGAAAGAGTCTTACAGAGTTAAATTAATTTTTTTTCAAGTTTGCAACAATAGTAAATTTTTTTTTTTAAAAAAAATTGTCATTAATTTTGAATAATAAAATGGCTCGTAGCTCATTTTTTAACCTTCATTATTTTCATTAAAAACTATTAAAATGTGGTTAAAACATTCCAAATAACTAGTACATGGCTACACAAACAATTCAAGGGTCAATTTCAACATGTTTTTAGTAAAAGGGTGTTAACATATAGTTTCATAGTAGAAACTCTCAAATTAAATGATCTTTAGTAGATAAAATCAAATTTCCTTCTTCTTAGGCAAATTATCTTCCTAATTGTGGTAATGGGTAGCGATCATAAAAGAATTGTGCAAGTGTTGAATGATTGTATTCCAATTTGGAGCAGCAATTGAATTTAGTGAAAGGGTATGCCACTTTGGGTTATCCAGTAATCTTATCACGTACCTGACTAAAGTGATGCATAAAGACCTCAATACAGCGACCAAGAATGTAAACTATTGGGTAGGAGCAACAACCCTCATGCCTCTAATTGGAGGATTTGTTGCTGATGCCTACACCGGTAGATATCGTATGATAATCTATTCTTCCCTCGTATACCTAAAGGTAAATTCATTGTTTTACTTCATATTTACGTGCAACTTGGTAATAACTAGGGCTTTTATACTTCGTATCCTGTCTTTGATCAATTTGACATATCTCATGATCATGAACAACAATTTTCAATTTCTTTGTTTATATACATCAAATGAAGGCTATAAAAATTATACTAGATAGCCTATAATCACTAAATATCCATGATTTTGTCTAATTATTATTTGACATGTATTTAAATTTTTTAATTTACGGTTAAAATCTTAATAACAATTCATTATATATCAAGCAGAGATTAATATATGATAATCTGTGGAGTTGAAGAGTATCTAATAATTATTCGTACTATGAAAAATAAGCCTGATTTGTTGTTGTGTCAAACTAGGGACTAAGCATGTTGACCATGTCTCAATTCATGCCAATTCTAAAACCATGCAACAATGAGATATGTGATCGACCAAGGAAGTTTCATGAAGTGGTTTTCTTCTTTGCCCTTTACTGCATCGCCTTGGGAACAGGAGGAGTCATAATTTTTTAATTATTTTAATTATTTTTTATTTATACATAAATCTTTTTTAATAACTATTTACTCTATCATTTTTATTATATTTTTTAAAAAAGAATATTAAGAGTTGTGAAGTACTTCTTTTTTCTCTAGTTTATATAGTTTCATTACTTTAAAAGACTACTTAAGAGAAAATATAATACATGGATTTTTCTTGTAAAGCTTAGATTAATACATGAAATGTAACGACTCGACAAGTTACTATATTTACTATAGTTCAATCACTACATAACGGAATAGACAACAACTTGATTAGGGTTATCATGCAACAACTACATAGAAAATCATATAAATTATATATGTATAGGTAGAAAATAAATTGCTGAAAATAAAAACCCCTTTTACGATTATATATGCCCTTTACACAAATACTATATACATTGCTACATAATTGTACGCAAAATAAATCATACTTTTTAGTTAAGTGATTATACAAGACTGGACAACTATACAAGGTCTGGCTACTATTAAATAACCTCAACAAAATGAGTCACCACTAGTATGACTCACCACCAAAGCATCTAGTAAATCTTGTTAATCTTGATATGCTTTTATACTAATGTATGATCATAATAATTCCCACCACAAAGAAAACAAAGGGTAAACTTGTGAATGAAAGCATCATACAAACACAACATCCATATCAACATGAACAACATAATAACAACATTAATTGCATCATACAATTTCAACATATCACCAATACTACTCATCCGGCTTACAAAGTAAAACAACTCATCAACTTCAACTTAACATGTCATAACACAATAATATACAATTAATGTGTCATCACATATGTCAACTATAAAGATCTCTTACAATAGTTGTGAGCGATTTAAGTGGTTTGATAATATCGATTCACAACAACTGGTATAAAACCAGAAACAATAACTAGTATAAAATTAGAAACAACGACTAGCATAAGCTAAATTGATTTATCATGTTTTGTCACTTAAATTCGGAAGTTTAATACTATTGTCAAAGTAGAATAGTTTGGGTATGAACCTTCCACGATATTAACTTGCAACACGAAACCACCTATAAAATTAGTTCACTGACTATCCTCTAAATACTATGCATTTCTAATACTCAATTAAGGACTAAGTCCTTGATTTTATATTTTACTTGGTTGGTTGTTTTATACATGTATACATCAACTTTATCTACATACGGATACTACATAAAACTTAGAGGAGATAACTTAAAATAATTATTCTTTATAAACCAGTAAACCACGTACTTATTAAAGGATTTCAATCGAACTTTCGGAGTATCGCAATGTATATCCAAGCAATTTACCTATTTATTGAAAAATAAATTATTTAAAAATATAATTTTTTAATCTAATATTTTTGCGTAACAAAATTAAGTATTATTTAAAATATACAATATATTAAAAGAAATCTAAAAATGAAGGAAAAATTCGTTAATTTGGTAGAAATATATTTTTCGACCACTCCCACGAAAATAACTTCTTCGTTTCCTATTTTTCCTTTCAAACCGAATAGTAAAAATTTAATATTTTTATTTTATTTATCTTATTATTTTCTACTCCATTTTCACCATAACAAACAAGGCTAACTGTTACTTTTGTATAGAAGAATAAATTTTCCTTTAATTTTTTTTAAGTTCAACACAATATTAATTAATATTTTATCAATTATATTATTGAAAAATAAAAGTTAAAATAACATAAATTTAATCAACAAAATAAATGAAAATGACAAAACAATTTTAATAAAAATAAATATTTCTTATATTTTTATTATCGTGTCACAACCCTGTCTGACATTTTAGATCAAAATATTATAACAAGACGAGTTTAAGCTTGATCTTTAAGGAAAAAATATGAATTATGCAATATATTCATTTATTTAAATGAACTTATCTGAAAATTTGAGTTTAAATTGTTAAAAAATAAATAAAATTTAAGGATGACTTATTTTGCTCATTTATAATTTTATTTTTGGCTAAATACCTATTTTAGTTTCTTATAATCTTTTTTTGTTTCAATGTAGTCCCTCATTAATTTTTTGTCTTAATTTGGTTCCAAACTAATTAATTGGTTTCAATTTAGTCCCTAATAAATTAATTGATTTCAATGTCGGACTTCCGTCTAAATTTCTTTAACGAAGTTAACTGTTGCATAGGTGGATGCCACGTGGATCCCAATTTTTTGAAAACACCTGGAACTAGAACGGCTCGTTCTGAAACCAGAACGGGTCGTTCTAGTTGCACTTTTGATGTGTTAATTTTGCATCCAGAACGGTGTTGGATTTTTTTTATAGGCAAGCGCACCCAAGTCTCTGTAGTATATTGATACCCCAAAACTTGATACTTGGTCTTGGAGCAGATTCATTGTCTCTAATTGGTTTGCAAGAGTATTTCTATGACCAAGTTCCTGACTCAATGAGAAGCTTAGGAATGGCCTTGTATCTTAGTGTGCTTGGAGCAGGATTCTTCTTAAGCAGCTTTTTGATCATCATTGTGGACCACGTCACGGGGAAGAATGGGAGAAGTTGGATTGCCAAAGATATAAATTCAAGTCGTTTGGATAAGTTTTATTGGATGTTGGTTGTAGTAAATGCTTTAAATTTGTGTCTCTTTATATTCTTGGCAAAGAGGTACACTTACAAGACTGTACATAGAAAAGCTTCAGAAATTGATGGCTGTAACAGTGATGCGGTGGAAATAGTGGCTTGATACGAGCAACTTAGGTGTACCACACTTGCTACATTTTCTGCTTAATGTACTATGTGTAATATTATTTTATATTTCGCATTCAAATACAAATTATTTATGATAAGTTTATTAAATTTTATAATAAATAATTAAAAATATATATTAATGATGATTTTTTATTGGTTGACTGTCAATGCATAGTTATTAAACTCTTGAAATAAATATATTTTTATATTAAAAATAAATTATATCAAATAAATGAAAGCCCTTTTGTTTTTTCTGGTTCACTGAATGCCCGTTAAATATAATAGCATGCCCGCCGGTAGCCCATTTTCCACCATTTATATATCACAATTGGTTGCAAAAAGCATGAGAAATAATAGCATCTCTTAAACTAAAGCAAGGCATGCATAATATTGTTCAATTTGGAGATGGACAACCTTAGATAGGAACAGCACTTTCCCCCTGGGGGCATGAAATAGCAGGAGGGAAGCTGTCCAACCTTGTGTCTTAAGTTTGAACCAATTCCAACATCAAACACAAGATTCCAAACTCCTATGAGAACACGTTCTTATTACAATGGAAACTGGCCAGTATAACAACTTCAAAATCCCACCAGCTTCCATGGCATCTGTTACAGCTATTAGCTCCATAATATCTGTCCCAATATATGATAAGATTATTGTTCCAATTCTGAGGAAAGTGACAGGGAATGAGAGAGGCATCAGCATCTTTAGGAGGATTGGCATTGGCCTAACATTCTTAGTCTTAGCCATGGTTGTTGCTGCCTTAGTAGAAACAAAGAGATTAAAAACAGTTGAACATCAAGTTTTAACAGTAGGGGGAACTAGGCATGAGACAATGAGTGTGTTGTGGTTGATACCCCAAAACTTGATACTTGGTCTTGGAGCAGATTCATTGTCTCTAATTGGTTTGCAAGAGTATTTCTATGACCAAGTTCCTGACTCAATGAGAAGCTTAGGAATGGCCTTGTATCTTAGTGTGCTTGGAGCAGGATTCTTCTTAAGCAGCTTTTTGATCATCATTGTGGACCACGTCACGGGGAAGAATGGGAGAAGTTGGATTGCCAAAGATATAAATTCAAGTCGTTTGGATAAGTTTTATTGGATGTTGGTTGTAGTAAATGCTTTAAATTTGTGTCTCTTTATATTCTTGGCAAAGAGGTACACTTACAAGACTGTACATAGAAAAGCTTCAGAAATTGATGGCTGTAACAGTGATGCGGTGGAAATAGTGGCTTGATACGAGCAACTTAGGTGTACCACACTTGCTACATTTTCTGCTTAATGTACTATGTGTAATATTATTTTATATTTTTTTCAGAACGACCTGTTCTGCTGCACTGGTGGTGTGTTAATTTTCACATTGGAATTGCCCGTTTCAGTTGCAAAATTAACACACCAAGAGTGCAACCAGAACGACCCGTTCTGGTTTCAGAACGGGCCATTCTGGGTCCAGGTGTTTTCAAAAAAATTTGTCATCCACGTGGCATCCACCTATACATCTATGTGGCATCCACGTGGACAACAGTTAACACCGTTAAAGAAATTTGGACGGAAGTCCCACGTTGAAACCAATTAATTTATTAAGGACTAAATTGAAACCAATTAACTAGTTTGGGACCAGATTGAGACCAAAAATTAATGAGGGACTTCATTGAAACAAAAAAAGATTATAAGGGACCAAAATAGGCATTTAGTCTTTATTTTTTTTATAAAATCTCTTTAAAATTATTAGATAACTTTATTAATTTAGTATAACTATGAAAAAGGAGGTTATCTACTGATAATATAAATAGTTTTACACATTTACTCAACTACTATATATGATAAATATGTTAATTTTTATAATAAATAACTAAAATATATATCAACAGCGAGTTTTATATTGTCTATACATAAACTTAACTCTAAAGAGGAATATATGATAATATATGTAATTTTTTTTGACATATATATAAGAAACATATCTAATAAAAGAAATCAATCTAAATCATACAATCATATATAAATGATCAAGATTTAGGATTTAGGATTTAAAAATATGAAGAGATTTTTTTATATACATTAAAAGTGTGTTTCTGTCTTTATTAATATGTTCTGTAAGGTGACATAATTGATTAAATCTCTTCACTTCTATATTTACTAGTTAAGACCCTAGATCAAATCCAAATTTTTTTTTTTGTATTTTATATCTTTTAATGTAAATTTGTATTGATAATATGTAATTCCATTTAAAATTCTTAAAGAGAGTGTTCTTACATGAGTTGTGTCTTATCCTATTCTATATTTTTTTATTAAAAAAATCTTTACTAATTTTAATAAAATTGAATAAGTAATATTTATTTCGCAAACTCTTGCATAAAAAAATTGCATATTCACATCAACGGTGCTGATTTTGCTTGCGAAAGTGGTCATTAAATATATTTTTTCAATAATAACGTAACGGGCCGAAACGGATGAGACGGCCCATTTTGCAATCCCTTGTGTGATGAGTGATGAGGGCCATAGATATCGAGCACGCTCAGAATTAAAAAGACTTTGGCTGCTCTCTGTTCTTACCAACCAAGAAAGATTCTATATGACGTGGCAATACCAACAAGATTCAAGATCAAACCTTGGTCAGCATTCAGCATTCAGCATTCAGCACTGCAGAGAATATCATTCATTTCACATTCTAACTCCAAACGCTACTCTCCTCTCTCTATCTTTCCATTTTCACAACCACCCATGGCTCAAGGTTTCTCCTTTCTTTTCAATCCAACAGTTTCTATCAACGCCTTCTGCTTCAGCTCAGCTTCTAATTTTCACCTTCTTTTTCTCTCCATTTTTCAGAAGGACACAATGGGTCACCAGAACCTTCCTCAGTGACTCCCTATGAAGAAGCATTGGACGCCTTGTCATCTTTGATCACTAGACGCACTCGTGTCGGTGATGTCAATATGGAGGAACGATTCAACGTGCTGTATAAGTACCTAAAGGTACAATCTTTGTGAATTCGGTTTAATGTACTTACTTGCTCCCCTGTTGGAACAATAGTATTAGTATTAGTATTGATAAAGATTAGTTCTTTGGTGATGTTAATGTTTACTATGGCGTGCTGTTGATTCCATAGATGCTTGATTTGGAGGAGGCGATTTCAAATATGAAGATTATCCATGTTGCTGGCACCAAAGGGAAGGTACTTTCATTCACCTTCGGTGGTTGCTTGGAAATGATGCCATGTTGAAAGATCCGGGATCTTTGGATTCCTGTTCACTTGGAGTTCTTTATTGTATTAATTAAATTTGCTAAGCCTAAGGCTTTAAACTAGGAGACTTCACGGAGTTCTTTACTGCTTAGAAAATTTAACTTCATGTCATTTCTGAGTTTATGTTCTATTTTACTGTTAAATTAGAGATTCAGATTTCTACAATGATTGATGTGATTGATGGTTTGTGGTCTCTTTAGATGGAGGAGTAGCTAATTATATATATTATATATATAAGCCCAATTGTTTTGTAGAGGGAGTATTTTAAGAAAAGCAAAGTTATAACTTACTAAAATACTCCTTCTAGATAACAATTAGGTGTCATGTTACTATGTTAGTAAATGTAAATCCCATATATATAAAATAAAGAGATAGATATAAAGTTGACATCTTTATTTTCACTCATGCATTTGTAATTATACAATGTTTTCCTCTGCACTTTGTTTCCTCAGGGATCTACATGCACTTTCACAGAATCTATATTACGCAACTGGGGTTTTCGCACTGGACTTTTCACTTCTCCTCACCTAATTGATATAAAGGAAAGGTTTCGTTTGGATGGGTGAGTATTTCAGACGCATAGATTGATTTTATTTCTATTTACTATACTTGTCAACTTGTGTTATTTTGCATATTGAGTTCATTCTCTTTTTTGAATTGGCCATTGCTTTCTTTTTAGTCTCCATTGTGTTTGTCCTTTACTTTGTTAAGGTTGCATATTAGTCAAACATGAATTATATTGTTCATACTGGAGTGTTTTGGTAACAAATTAATCCTTTATGTTGGTAGCTACTGTAATATCATCATTCTCCTTCTTTTATGTTTTATTCCATGGATGTACTAAAATACAATATATGCTGTCTTTTAATTCATCTTTGCAGCATAGTTACTTAGCTAGTGTGCTCTGATTTATTAGCATTATTTGTGTTGCTTCTGCAGTGTGGAAATCTGTGAAGAGAAATTTTTAGCATATTTCTGGTGGTGTTATCTTAGACTAAAGGTATATTTCTGTGAATAAGAGCTTCATTATAAATTTTATGGGCAGAACTTATAAAACCATGCTATCATTTTTCCCTATTTTTAATTTGAACCTGAACCTAATCACATTCCTAATATTTCTGGGCTGCTGGAAACTTTCTTCAACTTAGTTATACTGGTCCATGTTAGTATCCAATTACTAAGTATGAGACTTGAGTCCCATGTTAGAGTGTGGGATTCTGATGTACAGTTCACAATGCCTTGGACTCTCCTGCTACAATGGCTAGCTTTCGTGGTGTGACTCTGTGACTCTCTTATGGTTTTTATTAATTGGTACCGGATATTTTCGCAATGACTCTACTGCCAACAAGCAACACAGGTAGTCTCACCAGCTTTGCAGTGTTCACTCAAGACTAGTCAAGGGCTAGTGCACAGCCTGCCTCTGTGTATGCTAGGGCTCCAAAGCATGGTGATATGTTAGATCCTATTGTATGAAACCTGAGTGCCACATTGTAAATATGAGATTCTAGTGTTGGGTTATTAAAGCCAAGTTCTCTAACTACAATGGCTAGCTTCTGTAGTGTCCTCCCGAGATTCTTATCCCGAGATTCTTATCAGTCCATAAACGAGTTTTCCAGTTACAGTTAAGAGTGACAAGATGGATATTTCATGCCAATTGTGCTGATGTTTTGATGCTATTTCAATTTTCATCGCTTTTGAGTTGTTGCATGGCTTTCAGGAGACAATTGATGGAGCAAATACTGAGATCACTCAAAATAGTTAGTGTTTATGTTTTATCAATCTGAGGTTCATACAGAACAGTGTAGAGAAAGTAAAAAACAATGTTTTTATTGACACTGGTGGTTCTAGCACATCAACTTCTATTATGTGCTCTGACAAGATGTTCTGTCTTAATTATTATACTTTTGGTGTCGCATAACAGTAAAACCATATTAAATTCATGCATGACTAATCATCACAATAACCTCTTCGATTTGATGTTTACAGAAATTTAAAAAGCTTTTGTTGTGTGATATGCTTGCTCATAAATGGTTTCTTATTTTTGGTGGTGCACAGGAAAAAACTGATGACAATGTTCCAATGCCTACCTTTTTTCACTTCCTTGCTTTACTTGCCTTCAAGATATTTGCAGCGGAGCAGGTTTGACCCATGTGCTTTAAATTCTTACACTGGCTTGTTCCATTCTGATACCAATTCTTGTATATTTTACTACCAATGAATAAAAGTCACTTTATTTCAATTTTTATGCAGGTGGATGTTTCTATAATGGAGGTTGGATTAGGTGGCAAATACGATGCAACAAATTTGGTATGCATAATTATCATTTCAGCAGAAACGTATTGATCTTTAGCAGACTACTGCTGTAAAACTGCTTGAATATTGATATTTTCAATAAAGTTAATATAGGAACATACTCATGTACATTTTATTTTATTTTATTTTTATATTTTTCAGGTCCCAACACCTATTGTGTGTGGTATAACTTCACTTGGGTATGATCACATGGAGATTCTTGGTTGGTGCTCTTTTTTTGTGTTCTGGCTAACTAATAATTTAAAGCATGTCTATTGTTAATGAAATCATGAAATAACATTAGACATTTTAATTATGTGTTGTATGATGTGTGTTGTCTTGTCTATACAACAAGAAAAGTAAAACAAGTCTTTCAATCTTATTTTTCAAAATATATGTAACCTATAAATCTTGAATAGTTAGACAGTTGAATGATCGGGCTTCTTTCATGCCTGAATCTGATTATATGTACAAACCATGTTAAATATTGTTGCACACTTGTGCTGTAGTTTTAATTAATGTAAGTCATGATATGTCCATAGGCAAGGAAAAAATTAAATAGTTGAACATCTTGTTGCACAGCTGTTGATTTGTTTAACAAGTTGGGTTTACCTCTGTCTGCTGGATTCTACTAACAGGGAATACTCTTGGAGAAATTGCTGGTGAGAAGGCTGGTATCTTCAAGGTAATTTTTGGAGTAAAATATCTTTTTCCTCTCTATTCTGGTGTAGAGAACTGCCTGGTACTTAAAGCCAGACTATGAAGAGGGGATAGCCTCAACTTTAAATGGAACAACTGTCTCACAACCATGACCGGACCGATACTGGAGTCACACTCCTGTGTCATTTTATTTTTTATTTTTTGAAAGAAAAGAAAACACTTCTTTTGAAGTTTGTATCAACACTATCAACAATGTGCACTTTCATGTGTTACACAGTTGCAATTTTATGTATATTTTCTCTTAAAGTTTCACGTGTTCCCTTGCAAGATGTAGCACCCAACACTGTTTTCTACCCTTTCTTCCTAAATATTTCCTTTTATTTATTTATTTATTTTATATTTTGATTTGGTGTAGCATCAAATTCCAGCATTTACAGTGCCTCAACCTGATGAAGCAATGAATGTACTCAGAGAGAAGGCTTCTCAATTAAATGTAAGTTCATTTGTTTATGTCCATACTTCCTCCAGAATTTGCATGAACGACTCATAACTTGGCAAAATAGTATAAAATTGCTGTGTCAAAGTCCAATAAGAAAGTACAAGTTGGTGCTTGTTTTTCTTGCGACAAAATTTTAAATATATCATGGTTAGCTACATTGTATGCAAGTCAAACAATGTGAAATTTAGCAACAGATTTCACTGATATTTTATTCTTTGTACTTGGATGTTGAACTATTTGCTTATACATACATTACTTGGTTGCTTTGCCCAAAGTTCGGTCCTATTATTCTATAAGTATGTCTATTTATGCTGTCAAAAGGATGATATATCATGAGAACTTAATCAATGGTAGTTTATGGATTGCCTTGAAAAGAAAATAATTCCTTTGATAAGATTTAGCATGATTGACCTTACTCATCCTACATGTTATCAAGTTTTGTCTTCATACCCTCAGCAGTCAGCACGTTGCATTGGTCAATCATCTTTTGAAAGTTTTGGGATTCTTAACTTCAAAAGTAGATAGCCTTCTTTCACTTCACTTGTTAAAGTAGGTCCTTGGTTTTCATATTCAATCAGTTGAGGAGATTTTTCTGACTGTAGGTGCCTCTTCAAGTGGTAACTCCATTAGACCCCAAATTACTAAATGGTTTAAGACTAGGGCTTGAAGGTGAACACCAATATATAAATGCTGGTCTTGCTGTTGCATTATGCTCTACATGGCTGAAAATGAATGAGCATCCTGAAGACTTGCACTTAAAACAGATAGTAAGTTCTAAGTATGAAAAATGGTTCTTTTATGATCTTTCCTTTTGTGTTTATGTCTTTTTTTTTTCATCCTGCTGAAGTGACTCATCTGCCTGCTTGAAGCAACATACTTTGCCAGAGCATTTCATACAAGGGTTAACAACTGCAAGTTTGCAAGGAAGGGCTCAGATTGTTCCTGATCAGTTCATCAACAATGAAATATCAAATGAACTTGTCTTCTTTTTAGATGGGGCTCACAGTCCTGAAAGCATGGAAGCATGTGCTAGGTGGTTTTCTCCTGCTATTAAAGATCAAGACCAGATTTTGTTTCATCAGAAACCTGATAATTCTAACTTCTCTAACCAAGTAGCGAAGATACACCATGATGAAACTGTACAGAAGAAATCTGCACAGGTAGAAAAATAAGCTGTTATTGAATATCAAATTTCTGCTGAGCATGTTCCATGGACAGAAATTAGAAAAATGTCCCTAGTTGTGAATCAAACAAAATAAGAGTAACTACTATTTTTTAGGTAGTAAGTAGAGCAGAAAATTGCTTTGTTGAACGGGAATCATAAATACAAGTTCTTGGAAGTGATTTGCTTACTCATGTACAGAATGATTTTTAAAATAATTAAAATCTGGTGAGATATGATGCTAATGCTAATGTTTTTTATCAATCTAACAATCTTGATTATTTTTAATGAAAATTATTTAGCTGAATTGATTGAATTTTTTTTTGCAGATTTTGCTTTTCAATTGTATGTCTGAGCGAGATCCTCAGTTGCTTCTTCCTCCCTTGATGAAAACATGTGCTGATAATGGTGAGTAATATCTGGACTTTGCTAGTATATGGTTACACTGTAATGGCTTAGTCTAACAAGGATTAAAAAAAATCCATAGATTAATAAATATTTAGCAAATAAATGACCTTATCCTCCATAAATTCTTTGATAGTTTAGGTCTATCAGAAGAAGAATGCAAAATATTATTTCGACTGGCAATTTTTTCTGAACAAGAAATAAAAAGCAGATTACAACTGTAGGTGTCTACTTCAAGAAGGCACTTTTTGTACCTGGCTTATCAGTTTATCACAAAGTTGGATCTCATGCTTTAGCACCGGCAGCTTCTAATGTTGACCTCTCGTGGCAGTTGAGTCTACAAAAAGTGTGGGAAAATCTTATGCAAGGGAACCAAGGTATTGTTTGATCATTTAAAAATTATCTGTTTGTTTTCAAGTTTTCCAATAATCAATCCCTACTTTGGCCATGGAATTGGTTCCCAAAATTTGATTCAATAAGCATACAATATAAAGATAGATCATCTAAAATTAATTTTGGATTTTTGTCACATTTTGCTCACTGTCCATGATTTACTTAAAACTGAATTAAACTTTTGTACTTATGAGTTCACGAGAAATTCTTAGGTAGGCATTACTTACCACATGCACTATAATTAACGGCTTTCATTTGTAAAAGCATTCTTTAGAAAAGCATACATTTGTAACATGACTCACCCTACTTTATACATGTTATTGATCATAGAGTACTTATAAGTAGCAGTGCCTACTTAAGAATTTCTGAGATCATTGAGAATTACTTCATCACATTGTGAACATGTTTTTGTGTTCATTGTTTTTTCCTTCTCATTATTTCTTTAATTTAGAGTGCTGGACAATTTTCTGACTTTAGTCTGTTTGGGATCACTTGGCTAGAAGGCAAGAGTAATAATGCTGCTTCTGAAGAATTAAACATGGAAATAAGTACCAGCAATTGTGAATACAGTGCTGTGTTTTCGTCATTGCCACTGGTTATCAAATGGCTTAGGGACACAGTGCAACAAAACCAGTCAACTCGCTTTCAGGTAACATCAATTTATAGTTACACACAGGATAATTGTGAATATTTGACATGGTGATATGTTAGATATTGGTTCCTTTCTTAAAAGTGAAATGATTGCTTGAGTTGAGTCTTAGTTTGTAACTTTTCTTAAAAATGACTGGGTTTGTCATCAACAGACTCACAAAATTGTCATCTTTATGATGCCCTTTTGTTTTCCTCTCTTTCTTTGCTCTCCCTCATCGATGACTCTTTTTTGAACTCTGAGGTCTGTGCAAGTAAAGCAACTCTAGTAAGCTAGTAGTAATGGTCGCCCTCGCCCCTACCATGCCCTGAACAACTATGGTATATTATCAGCCAAAAATCAATGAAAGTAGCACGCTACGGACCCATTTTAGTATAAAACATCGTAATGTCTTTGTATAAATATTATGAAAGATTCGGTTTAAGAACCTAGTTGTTACACTTGTTGTACATTTGCATATAAATTTCTCTTGAATTTCATGAAGCATTTGTTAAGATGATTGCTGTGTGTCACTATATATGTTGAGGGACATATCAAGTGAAAGAAGAAAATCATGATAATTTAATCATTCACAGGTAGTGAAGATTACCTCCATTCAATGTTATTATATGGATGGTTAAAAGATTAGTCGCGCTCCCATGTTGTGTGTTTATTATGTGTCATGTCTTGGATCTAATTGCAAAATTTGTCTGGTTGATGCATCAGGTCCTTGTAACTGGTTCTTTACATCTTGTTGGTGACGTGTTGAAATTAATCAAGAAGTGATTCGTTGGAAGATTAGCTTTCATTCTGATTTTTAATGTACCACTATTATTCTTGATTATACCCCACGAGATCTGTGTCATTCAAAATACATTAGTGTTGTTACACTTGGTTCAAAAGTTTTGGACAGGATTTTATCAATATAATAACCACATCCTTGGTTGATTTCATGTATCCAGTGCATTGGATTATATCAGCGTCACTCTGGCGATTTCTTCGTTGGTCTATCAACTTTTATTTGACTGAATTTAAAGTGGGTTAACTTGAGGGACATGAATAAAGGATAATCTACTCTTTAACACAAGAAGTAATTCATTAGCAAGAAAGTATGTGTAATGTTTTAAATATTATTATCATTTCTGGTCAGTTTGGTACGGGAATAAGCCAAGAGTGATTAAGTGAAGAATTAACATATCACTCTTAAAAAAAAAAAGAAAAGAAAAAAAGTTCCAATTATTTTAAATGATCATAATTTCCAAGTTTGGTACAGGAATAAAATATGTGAAGAATTAAGAATCATTCTACGTTTTCATTTGATCACTGCGGACTATGAAGTATTGATTTACTTCAAAAAGCAAAACTGAATAGAATACATAAATTAATTATAAAAATGTGGCACAAGGAGCAAACGCATAAATTAGTCTGGGTGGTGTAGTTGGTTATCACGCTAGTCTCACACACTAGAGGTCCCCGGTTCGAACCCGGGCTCAGACATTTTTCCTTTTCGATGGGTTTCATGAATGTGGACCGGGCACAGGCTTGAAGCTGGAATACTATTGGGCCTTATAACAATGTTGGGGCAACTAATTCACCAAAAAAGCTATCTCAGACAGTAGTGAGCTGTCGAAACCAATTTGATATTATTAAGTACTTCTTTCTATGGGCATAAAATGGAAGCAGATATTCAATTTATGATTTTTACCAATTTTTGAGGGAAAAAACAATTGAGTACGTGAAGACAGTTATAGCGTATCTAAGCAAAATTTACCTTCCTTTCTTTTTCTTTTTTGGGTTAAAATTATTAAATGCAACCAATACATGAAGGCATGGGCTTATTATATGGCTCTCAACAAAATTGGTTTTTGCACTTGCCTAGTTGGACACATATATACCTTATGCAAAAACATGCAGATCTTGGAGCTTCGTAAATACTAAATACAGCTGCACCTTCCTATGTAAGTTTTGATTTTCTTCCAAGTATGGCATGATTACTTCTGTCAAAATCATTTTTAAATAAAATCATTAAATTTGTTTGGATGAAAAATTTTAAAAATTCAATAAATTTGAAATTCTTAAAATTTGAATTACATTTATTTCAATTTTCATTCATAGCATAAGTGACGATACACGAGAAATCAAAAATAAGAAATTAATATATCATTTTAACTGTGATCAAGTGGGTACATTTTGTCGTGAAATTAGTTAGGTTGATTCGGCAGGACTAAGTTACTTAAATTGTTATAATATATTAAGAGATCTTTATAGATGAATGCGTGAAAACACATTAATGATTGAATATGCATATAATACGGTGTGAGTTGTTATTGTTGATCAAATGCATCAGATGAACATATTGTTGTGTTATATGCTTGTGGTGAATGTTTGATTGCTTAGATGTTTTAGATTCAAACATGTTGAATTTTATAAATCATAAATCATGTGATGTGTTTTGGTTGGTTTACATGTTGGTGAGTAGTATGAATGTTCCTTCCTATACTTGTATATTTTTTTTTTAAATCTAGCTTATCTTTGTATAGAATGAAGGCAAACTAAAAACTTGATCAACACCCTTAGGTCATACAATGTGTGTATACACTTATTTTATACTTGCATAGTTGAATTTCTTTTTATATGTATGTTATATATGCATATTACTTATCTTATTAAGAGTAAGTGTATGATTTTTAATAAGTTAGTAGTTCCAGTACTATTTGAGGATTTCATAAAGTATAGGGGTCATGGTAGATCATTACAATATATTTTTGATATATAAGACAAAAATAATAACAATAAATAAAGAAAACATTAATAATAATAGAATTTAAAAAATATATACTATTGTAACATTAATTAGAGTTATTATCTTGAGTAAAAATATTTTTTTATGGATTTTTATTGAGGATTTTTTTAATGAGAATATTTTTTAGGATTTTTTAAATTTCTTATATTATTCAATTTTGTGTGTGTATATTACTAAAATAGACTCCAATATTTAAAAATATATTAACATTTAAAAGTAATATTTAGTAGCCGAATATTATAAATCTAAAATAATTTATATATGTAAAAATATTTATTGGATAAAATATTTCTAAATATTATTACAATTAAATTTTATAGAAAATAAATTTTTAATATATAAATTATAATTTTTTATTTGTATAGGCTTACTTTTTACTATTGATAATGTTCTTTAAAAAGTTGTAATAAATAAATTATTTTTCAACAATTATATTTAAATTTTATAATATATCAATTCTAATATATTAAACACATAAAAATGTTTTTAAGAGTTATTCTTTGATGGAAGCGTTTTTAGATATATTTTTTTTAACTTTTTTTAATCTAATTTTAAAAAATATTAAAATTTTATTTGAAATAAAATGAAAAGGGAAAAATGCAGATAAATAAAAGGTTAAAAATATTCTTAAAAGCACTATAGTTTAAGAAAGTTCATAAACACGTTTTCGTTAAAGATAATTTTCTAAAACTGTTTTCGTTTAAGATATTCCAATTTTTATATATAGACAATTTTAAGATTAAATATGTTTTTACTCTCTTAAAATTGAAATATATATTTTCTTGACCCCTTAAATTAAAAATTTGTGTGTCTAGCTCTTATATATATATAATATTATTTTGATCCTTCAAATTTAAAACTTGCATTCTAAGTCAAAATATTATTACTTTAGTCTCAATTTGTCATTATCAATTATGATATTAATAACTAAAATATTTTTTTTGAAATTACATAGACTATTAGTTATAATATTTTTTTAGTGATAAAAAACACAAACTTTAAAAGTATTTATTTCTTTTTTGAAATTACAATGACTATTAGTTACAATAATTTGTGATTTTTTAAGGACAAAAAACAAAAATTTTAAAAGTATTTATTTCTTTATTATAAATTTTAAAAATATAATTTGGTCCCTCATTTTAATTTGATTTTTCAAGTTAATTTTTATTTTTAAAAGTGCTTCGAAACTTGTGTTTTATAACTAAGAATTAAAGTTTAATTTCTATCTTGAACATGGAAATACAACTTAATATCACTTTATTTGCATAAGATTCAACTCGGTGGAAAGAAGACATAAGATTTATTTGTTTAAATTTAGAAATAAGTATTTTTAGGCAAGTGTCTTTAAAGGAAACAATTCTTTAAGAAGTAAGTAGGAATTGTTTTATAAAAAAAATAAAAAAATGGCTTATTTAAAAAAGATTAAAAAAATACATAAAAAATAAAATATTTTATTAAAAAAATAATTTTATAAAAAAAATTCGACAAACACCCATATTTTCTTACTAAATTAGACTATTATTTTTCTTATTTTGGTCCTAAAAGCCCAAATCAGTCCTTCAATCAGTTTTATTTAACATTGATGGGGTTAATCATGAGTAATGTGACACTTTTTATAATTATGTATGTGATTGAGTTGAGCAAGTTACTGTGATGAATTCGTGAAAGAATCAACTTATCTTAAAAGAGATACAAGTGATTTTTTTTTTTTTAAGATATGAGACGAAACTGAAATAAAAATTGAAAATGAAAGACTAAAATAGTCTAAACTTTAGTTATATAATATAAAGGTTTATCATATATAAAATAATTTTATGTAACTTAGTTTAAAAAAATTTAAAAATTCAACACCCTCGACATATAGGAATTGATTACGTAATTTATTATCAGTATCACTATCAAATTATTCGACTAAATGAATCATTGTATGTATATGACGTCTAAACTTTAGGCTTTAACAACAACACGTGACATAAAGATTTAACTGTTCACGGCTGCACTCTCTCTTTGTCTGCCAACCACACTAAGCATTACTCTGTTGGTCAGAAAATGGAGCACACAGATCCCTGTAGACATTTCATCAAAGACGTTAAGCGCATCATCATTAAGGTTCTCTTCTCTATCCAATATACTTGTTCCTTTTGTGTCTTGTGTACAAATGCTTGAACCATATCATGATGCAAAGTGGCTAAGGTTCTTTTGTTTGCTTTTTAAGGTTGGAACTGCTGTGGTCACTCGCCAAGATGGAAGGTTAGCGGTTGGAAAATTAGGGGCACTCTGTGAGCAGGTTTGCTTTGTATATTTGTGTGTTGTGCTGTATTTTTTGCTTGTTCAAATAAAAATTTGATTTTTAGTTTGGTATGTTGAAAATAAATGGCAGATTAAGGAGCTGAACTCTCTGGGTTATGAGATTATTTTGGTGTCATCAGGTGCTGTTGGCCTTGGTCGCCAAAGACTTAGATACAGAAAATTAATTAACAGCAGGTAGTAAAGGTGTAGCAACTTTGTTTTGTTGCTGTTGGTGTGTACATATATGATATAGCTTTTAAAGTTGGTTGAAATTGTAATTTACTTGGGTCTTTCATGGGACTTTTACAGTTTTGCTGACCTTCAGAAGCCACAAGTTGAACTTGATGGCAAGGCTTGTGCTGCTGTTGGACAAAACAGCCTTATGGCTCTTTATGATACATTGTTTAGTCAGGTAATTGTTTTGAGTTGATGTTCATGGCTGAACTACCATCTTATGGTTGCTCTCATTTCAAATGTGTTCTCTATTTATTTGTTTTGTTTGCACTTATTTGTTGGATAATCTTAAATTTTAGAGATATCCGAGTTAGTCTTTATTTAAAAATACACGTCTTAAATATGACATATTTATCTGTTAATAACATTTTTTTAAAATATTTAATTAGAACTACAATCTTAAAGACCTATTTTATAATAATTTAATACTAATAAAAATATAAAAATACATATGTTGAATTTTATAAGAATCAAGTTTAATTTATTTATGATGTAAACATGTTTTTAATATATGATATAAATTTTTACGTAATAATTTATTTTAAAACATATTTAATAATATTTAAATAGAACATAAAACTTTCAATCTTTCCTATTTTGATTTTTTTGGTCAACATATATAATAAATAGAAGAACAAAAAATAAACATGCATGCTGTAAATTTTATTTTATCAAAAATTAATTTTTTTAATATATTACATTATATATGTGAGAACTAATCTTATTCAAAAATTTGACAAATATCAAATAAATAAACAACTTCTCTGAATTTATATTTTATATATACGATAATTTATATATATATATAT